TATATATAATTAATTTGACAATTTATCTTCCCAACCATCGTTTTTCTTTTTTCGTAACTTGAAACAAAATATCACTTTTCTTTCTTCAAAATTTACAGGCATTTCTTTTTTTAATGCTCTCATGGTGGGTCTTACACTTCTTCAAGGAGTTGCTGCTACAGATACCGCTATTCAATTCTTTTCCTAACTTCTTGTATTTTGTTTTATTTGTCAATTTTTTTTCCAGTTTTTCAATGTCATTGTAATAATTAATATTTCAATTAAACTAACACTTCTCTATGTTATGTAATTTGTTTTGAGATATTTTCAATCTATTTATTATTCCTTTTTTTTTTGTACCGGAGTTTAAACATTATATTTTGTCTTTCAATTTTTTTATTATATATAATAGTTTTTTAATTGTATTTAATTATTTTATAAGTCGAAGTCAATAATTAATTTTAACCACACATTCCATAAGATCCGCAACCTTTCAACCATACATTCTATCAGTCTCCATTACTCGGGTATCACATGTCAACACGCTGCCTTTCATCTATCTCATCCAATGTGCGCATTATCCCTTGCACATTCGATCATGGCATTGGCATAGGGTTAGACAACCTTCATGTCATGTCCATTTTCTTGAAAAGGAGTCTGACAAACCTCCTTCACCCGAAGAATCCGACGACATCGTTGATGAAGTTCACACACTTGACTTCACTTTTCCTTATTTAAAGCCTGAATGTTGGAAGATTAGTCAAACCTTCCTTTGCCTGCATCATCCTATGAATTTGAATTAAGTTAGTGTGGCAGAAAATATTTGTCCATCTGAATGACCTAAACTCACATGGTGTGGGACCAACGTGGGGTTTTGCGTGAAATAAAAAATGAAAACAAATGCTCACCCTCTTCCCAATATGTGTGTTCTGTCGAGAGGGTGTCCCTCCCGGCACACCAGCTCGGTTCTACAAATTTTACCTTAGGAACTCTCCACATGCCTTCAACTTACTGTCGCAGTTAAGTGCCTCCTCCACCTGATTTGTCAATGTAGATTCAAGCCTGTAGCGTATCAATTCATATCCATTTTCTGGAAAAGGTGGTCTAGCAACATGCCAAAATTACATAATAAATTATAGAGAAAATTACAAAATTTCGATGTACAAAATTTCAAAATTAACAGCCAAACATTCATAAAACCACCAAATTCCAATTTTTTTAATCTATACTTTTTCATCAATTATTTTACACTTTTTTTAAAACAATAATCTATTCTACAAAATGGAGCTAAGCCCGTATTTGACACCCATTTTCTTTTCATTTTCGTTTTCATTTTTTTCTTCTCTTTCTTCATTTCAACTACACATTTTATTCATAAAATAATATTACACATAAACTCAAAAATTCTCTTTACTTTTTAACCACATATTCTTCCATCAATCACTATTTCAGAATTTATTCTTTCTTCAAAATTTATGAACTACTATTGGATTTCCAATTCCAAAATCCAATTGATCCCCATTTTTTCAAAACTCATTTTCAACCACACATTATCGTATAAAATAATTTTAGACGTAAATCAAAAATATTTACTTACTTTTTAACTACACGTTTTCGAACAAAATGCTATTCTAAAATACAAAAATTTCTTAATTTTAACCACATTCTCCAAAAAGAATAATATTACACACAAATCTAAAACTTTTCATTATTTTTCAATATCACGTTGTTCTATCAATCATTATTTCAAATTTTATAAATTTTCCAAAGTGGCCAAACAATGACTAGAAATCACCATCTCTGATTTCTTTTTCTCCCAAAACGCTGTCGTTTGGATCTCTAATACAAATTCAGGATTCAATCGGCTCTAATAGTTGTGCTTTATTAAAAATTAATCGGCTATGAAGTTTCAGAAAAAGAAATGAAAATAAGTCGCATTCTTCTGAATCCACAATTTCTTCTGGTTTTCACGGTAACGATTCTGCACCGAGTCAGCCGTGACTCGGTGTTGGCACAGTGCGAACTAAGTGTTAGAGACAACAAGAAGCTCTACAACTACAGCTTAGCCTCGCCGCTCCCTAAATTTCCCCATGGAATCCTCAGTGAAGACGGGTATGTCTCTAATTTACAATTCGTATGTGCCTGTTTGATTATATTTTTCGAGAATGGATTTTGTGAAAATGATTTTTCTTTAGGATGTGTGGTTCAAAAGTCTGAAATGCAAAGTTATTTCATTGAGAGAATGTAACTTGGAAAATGAGATTGTGGAGAAATGAGTCTTAAGGAATCTAGGCCATTTGAGGACTATGAATGTCTATATTCCTGAATAAAATGCATTTATATGTGGCATAAGGCAATCAATGCACTTAATTATTTGAATTTAGTATAGATTTATTTCTTCAGAAAATAATCAACGGTAGTAAAACTTGAATCAAAGAACGCACCACTGGCGTTTAGAATATTCACTATTGTGCTGTATAGGAAAATGGTAGTTCAGTGCTGTGAAGTTATTGATTTTGGGGGCCTACTTTTTGGTTTTAGGTTTTATAAAGTGGCAGCAAATGGGACTGTGCTATTGTTTCAGGTTGGCTCTATCAGGTTACATTATAATTCTTTATTTATTTAGTTTCATTTATTTTACTTGTATTGAAAGTATTCCTATTATATGTACTGAAATTTAGGCCTTTAGCGATGGTTGTATAGTTTTAGGGCTAGCTAATAATCATCTAATGAACTACTTTCTGCAATTACAGATTTAAAAATGAGCCTAGAAATAATTGAACATGCTTTTCACTAAATTCATAATCTGATTTAGTTTTTACTCTTTTTGCAATTCTGTGTGTCTGGAGCAGCTATGCAGTACAATGATATTCAACCATGATCCTCCTATATGTGTTGGCTGTAAGGTATGGCCTTTTTGATACTAGCAACTTTATTAGTTTTCTTTGTTATTTTCTCTCTTTTCATGTTACAAAATTGAGGAAGTGGTGAGGATTTGCTTCTTCATATGCTTCGCATCCTTATGTAGAAGTTACTTAATTGTGACTATTTGCATAAATGGTACTTGAAACTAAAATTTTAAGAAGAAAGAACTTTTGACTCTTAACTTATTCTATTTCTGATAACAAAGCTCCGATGTGAACAAATATAGGGTTAGAGTTTTAGCGTCAATGATTGCATATTCTCTAGGTGCAATGAGTTCATCTTTGAGGTACCGTACCAATTATATTTTTAAACTTAAAATAATTTATTTAATACTTTAAACTAATCACTGCAAATCAATCTTGAGGAGTTGCTCAATTGGTTAGGCCTTGAGTTTGCTCTCCAATGGTCACCAGTTCGAGTCCCTTCAGGGTCACTGAAATGCCCTGCTGTAAATTTCAGGCCCGTGGGATTAGTCGAGGTGTGCGCAATCTACCCAGACATCCACGATTATAAAAAATAAAAAATAAAAAAAAATAATCACTGCAAATCATTGTAGTGTAACCAATAGTTTTATCTTATTATCTCTCTTCTTTCTGTTTGTTGACCTTCATATAGTAGAGATGGATGATTTTCCTCTACTATTTATTTTGGATATAAGAAATCTCAACACCTAGTTTTGAGTTTTATCATTGTGCTGCTGAATTTTATGTCCTTTATTTTTGTAGGACTGTGGTGGTCCATCTCGCTGTGGCATGGGTTGCAGTGCACTTGTGTCTAACAAAATCGATGGTAAATAATTTAGAATCTTGTTGCCTTTGATTTTGGTTGTACTATACTAGCAAGGTTTTGCTAAGTTGATAAAAGTGGCCAGAGTTTAACTTATATAATGAATAGGCAAATAGGATGGGAGCTGAACAAAAAATATGACAATTTACATAACTAATTACTTAATCCCTTTAACTTCACGATCCATCTATTGACAAAATTAAGATGATTTTGAAACTCATTTTATATTGACAGCTCAATGAGCTGCGTCATGCGTGAGTATTATAAACATGTGACTGCATTTGTTATTAGGAAAGGAAATAAAGGAATAGTTTATGTCATATTTGGACATTCAATACACAGTCAATATTGGCCGATTCTAGTGTTTGGACATGTTAGGAGTAGTAAATTTGAGATATAATATTGAGTAGTGAAGGACTGGATGATGAGGGCTGGTTAAAGACTTAAAGTTAGTGCCATTTGGCAGGAGTATACGATTTTGCATGGTTAGTGATTAGGGTTAGTAGAATTCCAAAATTTGCTTGCCTTCTGCTAGCTGTCTATTACCACATTGGTTGTGCTAACTGCTTACATATTATAATTTTTCCTTTCTTGGGCTTTCATTTTCAAGAAAATAATTGGTACAGGTTGAGAAAACCAAGGTGCACGTGGATTTGAGATGGCCACAAGTTTTGTATATCTAATTGTGCATTTAGCATGTTGTTGTTCCACTCTTTGTATGCACGTATCACATATCCAAATATGGCCATGCTTATGTATAGAGATCAATTACTTATGATACCTTATTTGATTTCATATTTTCTCTTCCTTGAAAGGTTTCAAGAGTCTTCTCTCATGTAAAAAGTGATGATGTGCTTAATATGGGGAATGAGAATGGTTATGAATTCTGACCACGATATGACTTGGTCGTTTTTTCCCTGGCATTGAAACTATAAAATTGAAATGTATC